AACGAGTGACATCCAGTTGCGAAAACTACCTCTCGTCGAAAGTGCATATGGACAATGCGATGACGTGACATTCACTTTTAATGAGCATAGCGTAATCTATCATAGTATTAAGAGAATAGGGTCGGATCGCAGCGTTTGCTGTCTGTGTCGCTGACGCAGAAAATGCTCGGCGGAGGGGCACGAAGCCGTTGTCTACGACCTCAAAAAAATTGACGGTCTTCGGTCTAGGTCTAACTGAGTCATTTCAGAGCAAGAAAACGTTTGCGTCGGAGAACAGCGACGCTGTCGGTAATTAATGGCAAGGGGTTCGAACGAACTGCAGTTTGCGCTGTGTGCACAAAGTAATTGCAGGGTGTGGATTTAGCCCAGAGCATTAGGCAGCTTTTAACTATTCATGATCCCTGTCCTTGTCTGAAACCGAAAATGCCGGTAGTAGTTGGCCCATTGACGTTCGTCTGCTCTAGGTGATAATGAATACTTGACAAGGAGCTCGGATCGATCAGGCGACGCGAATGAGTTGCGAAATTCTCCTACCTCATTGCAATCAACAAATAACATTTCCAGCGAGAAATAATGTCCATATATATGCCCTTAGTTATATCTATGTATACGTAAGTACCTAGCTCTAGTTCTCGAGTAAGCATAACCATATTATGCATATTATTTTGAATCCTGAGGTCTCGTACATAAAACAGAATCATACCGTTATAGGAGATACCTGTGGGTATTTACGCCTGATCAGCCCCGGTACATTTGCGGAATTCAAGCCCGACCTGTTTGCCACTGTGCCAGCACCCCAAACCTAACGATTCAAAGTTTAGTGGAATATTTTCTATCATGTTAAGAATCTTATACTTTTATCATTAAGCACAGAATCTGCTGTCAGGAATCTCTATTCGCTCCTTTTGTGCAGGTATATTCAACGAAGACAGCGACAGCAAGGCGATGGGTCATTTGGGAACCGGTTTCGAGTGCTATATTAATTTATATTTGGATAAAAACCAAACAGCGGAAGAAGTTTTAAAAACCTGGTTTACTCAGAACCTGAATATCATATCTGCGCCGGTGAACATTCGGTATGAAGTCTACTTTAACCATGAAAGAGAACTGCATCAGAGGATGCTTCAAGCGTTA